AAAGGAAAGACAAATGCTGCTCTTCCAACCATAACCAGACCCATTAGGATTGAGCTCACTGCGACTGATGTTCCTGGGGTGTCGCTCACTGATCTCCACTTATCAATGTCCAAAGCATCCATCCCGACATACAAGAAAATAAATGTCTCCGCAAGAAACGACAAAGTTGCAAAAGCATGCCTGTGTCATCGAAGATGCATAAGATAAGCAACAAGAGGTACAAAGTGTTTTCAACTGTGTTAATTTCAGCAACAGGTGGAGAAATTGGAGATTTCATACTTGGTAGTTATTCTTGAGCTCTCAGTGACGTTGTGCCAGGTGTAATGGGACATCACAATCCCACAGAAAAACACAGTGAGAATACCACTCAAGGCAAAAAGCTGCAACCACAATAATATAACGTCAATAATATGTAGTGTATGGATGCAATTGAATATATTCATGTCAAAAATCCTTTAAGAGGGTGGTATAAAATTTCACAGAATCTAACCTCAGCAAGCATATAAGAAAGATACGCCATAAGCATCATGAGAGCAACCTCTCGGTCGGTTGAGTGCCTGAGACAAGGCACGTGGGGACATCAACTTTAGTCCAAACAGGAAGAAACATATAGAAACAGAGTCACATGTTGTACGCCAAATATGTACCTTCCAAAATATAGCTTTTTGATGACATACGCACTTATCAGACCAGTCTACAAGATGAATAACGAAGATTGTAGATGGAGTGAACACAATATCATGCAAACAAGAGCCACAAAAAAAAGCAGAGACGACAACAATGGACTTACTGCAACACCAAGCAAGGTGCTCAGGAGAAACAAATAGAAGAAGTTTCCAAGAAGACGAAAAGCAGCTTCATGGTTTAGGTGGGTGAGATCAAAGCTCTGAATTGCATTGAAGACAACAACCGATGTGGCATCATTCACAACACCTTCTCCGAATACAAGACTGTAAAGCAAAGGTGTCTCATCTTGATTCAGAACCTATATCACAACACAAGAGGAACACGAACTTTTGGTCCACTTTGTTTCTGGGTTTGTAAGTACGTTCAGTAATTAGAGATAACACATTACCTGCAGCGTGCACACAGAATCTGTTGCAGCAAATATGGCGCCAATTGCTGAGGATCAAACACCCAAAAACAAATCAAGGCTTCTGGAATGAAAACCGATAAAGCAAAGCAATACAACAAAAAAGCCATTGGTTCAGGAATTACCAAGATAATCACCCAAGTCAAAGGTCCCGATGTCCAATTTCTTAAAGAACTGCGTTACACCTGTTTCAAGCACCACCAGATTATCAGTAGATATACAAAACTAATTGGCAACCTAACAGATTAATGATCCACATGACCTAATACGGAAGCAGCTTTCAACGGTATTTCAGCCAAATGAGATGGGAAGTAAGGTACCTAGAGATATGATGGTGCAAGAGATAACAGTCCCAATAGCACCAAAAAGCATAATAGTCACGAAATTGCGGAAAAACTGTTTCTTTTTTACTTGAAACCTGAAATAGACAACAATAACAATACGATTATCTGAAAAATTTGGAAAGCATATGGTGGAAAATGAAGCTGAACAGAGTAAATCCATGACAAAGACAAAGCAGGACCACCTACTTGCACGTGTATAAATCTAACTAATTGACCAAATACATCAAGCCCTCTTTCTTTCTAACAATCACATAAAGTTTATGTATGGCAACGAATTAATAAAAGTAGAACTTAGCTTTCTAATAAAAGCAGAACTTAGCTTTCTAATCAACATCTGTAAAGCTTTGTACTTGCTTTATCCCCTAGAATCACATAATGCCTGTTCTTAAACCTAATTTTGTTGTAAAGTTTCTTTTTACATCTTATGTAACTTTTTAATGTAAAACTCGTGCTACGACACGTATAATATAATCTATCTACTATTTCGTAAAATCTCCCTCTATAGCACGAGACCCTACCAGAGTAAGTCCCACAACAAAAGATTATCCGATGGTGAACCAAAAATAAACCAACTATAATCCCAAACAGGAGCAAACGATCAGATGGATGGAAAAATGACTGACCCTGCATTGAATATTATGGGTGGCAAAAGATATATGAAGAACAAATCTTCACTGAAGACCAAAAGATGTGAGCTTTTTCCCTTACTAATCAACAAAATGACAACACCAGTGGTAAGCCCCTGCAACGAAATCGCTCAAAGGTCATTCAAGATGAAACCTGCATGGTTAATCAGCAACCTGAACTGTAACTCGGTAGTAATTCATAAGCATTATTCTCCTTGAACTTACAATCAATAAGGCAGTGATGGATTCATTCATCCATCGGTTCTCCTCCAAAAGATGGCCAAGCACAATACAAGCACAAAGAAGTGCAACAAAGAGATTCAACGAAACCACTGAGGCGTGATCAGAGGTCGACAATGAAGGCATTTTAGACATGTAAAAATCGAAATATGATGCCAGCATTGTCATCTTCAAGATCCACGTTTGACCCTCCAACAATGTTTTCACCGATCAAGTACACAAAAACTATCGAGACATGAACATTCAGATTTGAATCAGAAAATCGGAAATCTCTTGTCTTTCCGGGCTGTCGACTGAAACAATTCCTGTATTAACAGCATCCAACAAAATCTAATAAAATTTCAACATTTGTAAAATAGAGAAGTAGCACTACTCTTTAGAGAGGTAAACAGAGCTTAGGCTAAGGCAAAAAGCAACTATTTCTGCTTACAGAAATCTCGCTGAAACTTTATGAATCAGCTTTTGACCAGACCATAAAAACATTATAAAACGTAAAAGGTTCCAC